TCTTTGCCCAAATTACTCATCAGAATCTGAGCCTCAATAAATATCAAAAACATGTTGAGATTTGTAAACAGTATGGCTGCCACATGCCAATCAATTCTTAATTTACTCAAACAGCTATAACTCATGACAGTAATAAATGGATTTGTATGAAACGTGAAAGGCTTATTAACGACAAGATTCTGAGTCTGTCTGCTATGTTTGGGGTGTGGTCGTCAGTGGGGGCGGGCTTAAGTTCAATTGCGCATTTCTCAGGAACTGTAAGTCTGATGGGGCTAAAAATTTGTATACTGCATCTGTGTGCTCGTGTTGCAATGGATTTATAATGATGACTGGGTTACTTCAAAAACATGGTTGGCATCAGCTTTCGCCAGGCATTTCACATGGTTAGCACTGAGCTACCACCATTAATGTTCTCTCTCTCTCTCTCTCTCTCGCTCACTCTCACTCTCACTCTCTCTCTCTTTTTTTATTTTTATATTATTTTAAATAAAGGTAACTTGGCAAGAGCTGGCCAATGAAAGCTCTATTTGTGAAGGATGCCTCAACCTAGCAGATCACTGCTTGTGGCTATATTTCCAACTGTAGTTGCTTAATGTTGTAAATGTAGTTGCTTAAGTCCAGGTGCTGCATTTTCTGGGTTTCTCTCAGGCAGGTCTTTTGTGCAATCCTTCCAAACCGCTTTTTATTGAAGTGGTTGAATCAAATAGTTTATTCCTCTGGTTGTACCATTAAAAAAAATTGCTGAATTCTCAAAATGATATTTGGCTTTGTTTTTAACCTCCCTCACCATCCTTCTATTGTGCCTGGTGGAAACGTGTCCTCTTCCAGGCAAAAGTTCAGACTTTGTAGGTTATTTATTACGGTCATGTCAGTACTTAAGGTATTTTCAAAGGCTTTTGTAATTTTTTTCTTCATATTCATTACCTTACTTATGCAGGTCAACAATCTTTTGAAAGACTTATTTTTGCACATTTTTATGAAATTTCTAGAGTTAAGTATATATTTCCTTCTAAGAATGTTTTAATTACAGGTCATGGAAGATGCAGTGTTGTGTACGTTTGGCCAGTTGATATCAGATGGTCCTCAGTTGACTGAAAGTGATGGTGTTATTTTAGATGCTAATCTAAGATGCTATATCTGCAGTAGATTGTGATATAAACTGTTTAACTTAAAGGGGGTACTATGAATGTTTCCAAAGATGTTTTCATTGTCTTCACTAAGATACAATTTTCATGAATGAGGTTGAAGACTTTAATAATGAAATCTGAAGCCCATTATTGTGCCTAACCTCTCTTGTACGTATCCCAGGTGGTGCCTGGCTATGGACATGCTGTCCTGAGAAAGACAGACCCACGCTACACATGCCAGCGAGAGTTTGCCCTGAAACACCTTCCTAATGACCCCATGTTCAAGTTGGTGGCTCAGCTCTACAAGATTGTGCCCAACGTGCTGCTGGAACAGGGCAAGGCCAAGAACCCGTGGCCCAATGTTGATGCCCACAGTGGAGTACTACTGCAGGTGAGGCATTACCCACACATGATATTAATCTCATTATTGTCTGGTATGGGATGTTTAGATTGAAATTTGATGTTTTTTTTTTTTTCTTCAGTCAGTAGTTTAAAGGGGGGTAGGTAGTATACAAGTTAAAAATAGCATGATGGCGTTGCTTTAACATTAACGTAATGAGTTGATGTAACTATTTTACATAGGCAGATATACACTTACTGGCCACTTTAATAGGAATAGGAACAATCATGTGACAACCGCACAATGCATACAATGATGCTGATACAGGTCAAGAACAGTTAATGCTCACATCAAACATCTGAATGGGGGGAAAATTGATCTCAGTGAGTTTGAGTGTGACATGGTTGTTCATGCAAGATGGGCTGGGTTGAGTATTTTAGACACTGCTGATCTCCTGGGAATTTCACATGCAACAGTCTCTAGAGTTTACACAGAATGGTGCATAAAACAAACATTCAGTGAGTGGCAGTTCTGCAGGCAGAAATGCCTTGTTGAAAGAGGTCAGAGGAGAATGGCCTGACCAGTTTGAACTGACAGGAAGGATACGGTAACTCAAATAACCACTCTTTAAAATCATGGTAGGCAGAAAATCATTCAAAATTGCATTCAGATTTTATTTTAAAATGGAGAAAAAGATTTAACACTTAAGTGACTTAACCTGCTCACATGTTTAGGGTATGGCAAGATTTTGCTTTAGTGAGGAGAGATTTTGTGATTCAGTATGATATTAACAGAACTTGTGGACAGCATAATTTTAAATAATTGTTTAAAATGTTTTCAAAGACTTGACAAAGAAATTAAACCTAAATTCTATGGTACTTAAATGTAACTCGTATTTAAAGTTCAAATTAAACTTAATAAAGTATTTTGAGTCATGTTTTATCTTGAGTCATCTTCTATAGAACAATCCACTCAGATATTGTAAGTTACAAGAAATTACATTTTTTTATACTGAGGTATATTATTTTTTACTTTAATCTTTTTTTTGCTTTAATCAGTTGTATCAAACTTAATTGCAAACTATTTCTTGCTATTTTTAATTGATTGTTCTTATCAAGATATAATGTACTATGCATTTTATCTGTGCTACTTAACAGAAATGTTTGCTAATATTTTTGTGTACATTTGTGTAGTATTACAGCATGACTGAGATGAACTACTACACAGTGCTGTTTGGAGTGTCTCGGGCCCTGGGGGTGCTGGCTCAACTGATTTGGAGCAGAGCACTGGGCTTCCCTCTGGAGCGTCCCAAGTCCATGAGCACGGATGGCCTTATGGCCCTTGTAGGGGCTAAGTCAGCCTAGAGACAACAAGCCAATATAGTTGAGAAGATGGGGTGCAGAATGTTTAGTTGTGAAATAAGCCTTTGGACTAAAGAGTTTAAAGAGAAATTCCACTTAAATTAAAAAGGGCCATTATTATTCAATACTGTTATTGTTAAAACTTGAGACATTTTCCAAATTTAGTCAAGTACTTGTGACTGATTTTCCTCTTTTACATATCCTATACCAATTCTGATTGATAACCTGCCGGGGCAAATATATGTAAAGATACATAAAATAAGGAAAGGTGCTGATGAACAGTAATTAATTAATTACTATTTTAGTGAGTCACTTGATTTGTGTGTCCGTACAACATTTATTGGAATAAACAGACAATTTTCCCAATAAAGAGACAGGTTTATCCCCACAGCCATTGTAGCAAAACCTAAGTATTTTCCCTTTTAAAATAATTTCTCATGCCTTACCTGTATAGTAATGGATGAAAACACATACATTGCCCTTCAAAACCTCAACCTAAATGGTATGACCAGGCATCCTTTCTCCAGGTTATATATCAATCATTTCTCCTGGTAATAACACCCAAACTGCCAAATGGCCTTTTCTAAATTTAAGATAAATTCAAGGGTTCACCACTTCTGCTCTGAACGCTGAGCAGATCTGTCAAAAGCTGAGTGTGATGGTACAGATTTAAAGCTTTAAATTTTTTCATAATAGATTGATTTCATTGGCTTGTAGTTTTCCTTAACATTAGTGTTATTGTCCAAGAGCATGCTGAAACAGCAGTCAGAGCAGCCAGTGCTTTCACTTTGCTGGGCCCAAAATTAGTAGTTTTTAATATAAAAAGAAATGCTTGTTAGTTTGGACTCTTTCATTTTTAAGTCTACAAACCACTTGTCTTCTTAGGTGTAGAGTTCTTTGGATTTCTAAATTCTATATAAAAATAATTAACTGTGAGTACATAATTTGTGATTTTATTTGTTTTGTAAATACATATATTTAAATATATGTAAATACATACATTAAAAGCTGTAACCTATATACCCTGTGCATAGGGTTGAGTTTGTTCTCTGGGACGGCACAGGCTGGTACTGATTTGTTTCATGTTTGCTTGAAGGTGATCAATGGTTTAGATCCTACTGCACTGTCAACTGACAGGTCTGTAAACACTCCACACACTTACATGAAGACTTATTTTCAGTCTCTTTCCCTGTCTTTATAGGTTTTCACAAATCCAGAGGTTTTATAAACAAGTATTCAATGCTTTTTTCCTGTAGTTTTTTTTTTTTTGGTCATGATCACTGTATCCTATCAGGTCACTGCATTGGAGAGGACATGAATTACTCAAAGTAACTAATGAACTAAGGATGTAGAATGGGGACATTTTGGTTGAATGGAAAAAGATGCTTGGTTAAACAAAAAAAAATTGGAGTGGTTTTGAGGGGGGCAATAAATGTTTTTAACAAAATGTTTTCAGAGTATTATTTTCTGCTTACCAACAAAAATGTGTATATATACAGTTGTTTGCAAAAGTATTCAGACCCCTTCAGTTTTTGCACATTTTATTGTCTAATAAATTTAATTTAAAAAAGTATTAAATGTACTTTTTTGCCATCAATCTATACACAATAACCCATAAAGACAAAGCAAAAACATGTTCTTAGAATTTTTTGCAAATTTATTCAGAATTGAAATCTCTCATTTAGATAAGTATTCCAATCCTTTATTAAGTTCTATTGGCAGCAATTACAGCTTTGAGTCTTCTTGGGTAAGTCTCTACAAGCTTTGCATATCTGGATTTGGGTAGTTTCTCCCATTCTTCCTGACAGAGCCTCCCTCTCAAAGTTCAATCAGGTTGGATTGGGAGTGTCTGAACTGCCATCTTCAGGTATCTCCACAGATGTTTAATGGGGTTCAAGTCTGGGTTTCCTCAAGCACCTCATGCTTTCAGGGTCATTAAAGTGCCTGCCATATGCATTTTACTCAGGAATGGCTTCTGTTTAGCCACTCTAAATTAAGGCCTGAGTGATGGAGTTGTTCTTTCGGCTGCTCCTGTTAGGGTTCACCACAGCAGATAATTGGTCCGCATGTTTGATTTGGCACAGGTTTTATGCTGGGTGCCCTTCCTGAGGCAACCCATTTTATCCAGGCTTGGGCCCAGCACTGAGAGTACACTTCCAGAAGCTGGGTTGGCTCCCTGCCGGGAAATCGAACCAGGGCCACAGAAGTGAGAGCACAGGATCCTTAGCCGCTAGACCACCAGGGACCTGCCTGAGGGATGGAGAATTTGAGTATTTCTGAGGTTCTCCCAGCTCTGCACGGCCATTGGGTTCTGGGTCACTTTCTGGACCAAGGTCCTTCTAGACTGGTTACTGAGTTTGAATGGATGGCCAGCTCTAGGAAGAGTCCTGGTGGTTCTAAACTACTACTATTTCACAATGATGGACCCCACTGTACTTAGGGGGAAAATTTAAAGCTTTTTAAATGGTTTTATACCCTTGTCCAGATCTGCCGTCACTCCGAAAGGATTGGAATGGCAAGGCCAGTTCTTCTGTTTTTGCTATACACTAAAGACATTTGGGTTTGAGGTCAAAAGATTAATGAGGTGATTTTCAGAATTTTCTAATATTTACATCTAAACAACTTGGAACATGGCACCTTTTGTTTGAACCCACACATTTTTCAAGTAATCAAAAATATTGGAACTTGTGACTGACAGGTGTTTCTTGTTGCTCAGGTGTGCCCTGTTAGATTGACTGTTTAAACAATTAATAGCTGTAAATGTCTACTTTTTCTTTGACTCCTGGGTTTTGCCTTTGAAGACTGCATCTGTTGTTAAAAAGGATAAACCAACATGAAGACCAGAGAGCTGTCTGTGGAAGTAAAGCAAGCCATTTTGAAGCTGAAAGAAAAGAGGGAAAAATCTATTAGAGCATAGACCATTGGGCATAGCCAATACAACAATTTGGAACGTCCTGAAAAATAAAGAAACCCATGGTGTATATTAACCAGACATCGAACAGGCTGAGGATCAGTCAGCTAAGGAAAACAACAGCAGTTGATCACAGAAACATTGTGAGAGCTGTGAAGAAAACCCAAAAACAACAGTCAGTGACATCACCAACAATCTTCACAGGGTAGGGGTGAAGGTATCACAATACACCATTCAAAGAAGACTTCAAGAGCAGAAATATAGGGGCAATTCCACATGATGCAAGAATCGGAAGGCCAGATTTGAAGTCACAAAGTAATGCAGAGATGAGCAAAAAAAATAATCTGGAACCAAGATTAACCTCTACCAAAGTGATGGAAAGCCCAAAGTGTGGAGAATGAAAGGATCTGCTCGTGTTCCATGATAGGTCAAGCAAAATGGAGGTATTGTCATGGCTTAGGCTTGCATGGTTGCTTCTAGAAGAGGCTCACAAACTTTATTGATTATGTAACTCATGATGGATTTACAGAGAAATTCATCCAATCTAATGAAATCTTTAGCATACAGCAACACAATAACCCAAAGCACACTGCCAACACAACAAAGGACTTCATTGGTGGAAAAATACAGAAGGTTTTAGACTGGCCAAGTCGATCACCAGACCCAGTTCAGCTCTTGAAGAGGAGACAGAAGGGAGAAACCGCCAAAACAAGCAACAGCTGAAAGAAGCTTTGGTATACAGGTTAGAATGTCGTGGAAAAGTTCATTTATTTCAGTAATTCAACTCAAATAGTGAAACTCGTGTATTATATAAATTCAATGCACACAGACTGAAGTAGTTTAAGTCTTTGGTTCTTTTAATTGTGATGATTTTGGCTCACATTTAACAAAAACCCACCAATTCACTATCTCAAAAAATTAGAATACTTCATAAGACCAATA